CTGATGACTCCAGTTCTAAACCATTAACACATAAAAAAGGTTTAAGCCTGGCAAAGAGAAAATCCTGCTTATGTTTTAGTTCAGGGGACAAAAGAAAAGTAAGTACCTTTTCATCTGGTTCAGAGCTGATTTTTCAGCTGCAGGGGCCTCAGGTTTAGGATTAAGACCTTCTGATGTTTACAATTTGCTCCTTCGCTGATAGACAAGGTGAAGGAATGATGCAGAGGATCTGAGTGACAGGCAACTGCAAATGTCAGCACAGCCGTGTGACAGTGTGTCAACCGAGGCTCTCTGAGCACTGAAGATAAATTCCCATCGCTTCCTCAGGTCAGAGGGCTGACGTTTTTCTCTGGTCAGCTCAGCATCAAGCTGACCAAGAAAGCACTTGGGTCTTGACAGCCTGATTGGTACTGTAACTGAAAGTGAGCACAGTAGTAGTTCTTTCAGACTTTATTATTTTGCAAAAGGTTAATTGTAGCTTTTACTCTTTTCAAGTATCAAATTAGTCCCTTTATAGATTGTGGTTTATACTTTCAGCCAGACATGGCTTCTAAATCCAGCAGAAGATTGAAGAGAAACCCCTGACGTTTTATAAACGGGATCACAGGACCAGTCTGTGGGCCAGACAGCTGCAGCCTGGCTGACTGTGGTCATTGTCCCTCAGTGCATGCACTGTCTCCATGTTATCAGTTCCAGCTTCAGAAAGAAATGAGGCTTGTCTGAGGCTTTAGTGTGAGTTGCGAACATCTCTGAGTTGTGTAGTTGAGCTGTTTGAAATGAGTCGCTTACTACATGCTGCATCTCTAGACCCACTCCCGTGTCCCATAACTAAATTAAGTTGGAGAAATATCTTACTTGGTAAGAAATTCAGGGTTAAGAATTTTAGAACAGCCGAGCAGTGACGGATTGGGCACTGCAGAGGGAACAGAGTGAAGGCATTGGAGTTGCCACATTGCTCTCAAGATTTGATATTTGACTGCTTAGTATTATGGCGCGAACGATTCTAAGACCCACGGAGCCAATTGAGATTAATTATGTGCCTTTATTAGCCGGCCGGCGACTGACTCTCTACCACGCAGGGTTAGAGGAGATCAGCCCCCAGCTTCCAGAGGAGACAGCTTATAAAGCCTCCAACTACGTCCTTGAATAAGCAAGCAAGCAAATTACAAGAAGCAGAAGTTAGCCGTTAACGTCTTGTACAAAGATAAATG